CTCACAAACCGCATTGAAGATGAACCTACTCTACATACCTATTACGGGTTTCCTTTTCTTATACACAGCCACACTTACTGGCCCGAAAATAACAATTTTAAATTTAAAGTATCAGCAAAAAGCTGTTCAGATCCATAAGGACGGGGAATGTAAGATTTACATGATAATGTCAACAAAAAGCACGTAAAATGTAGATGTCAAGTGCATTTTCAGGTTTCTTCCATCGCACTTTGTTCATGAACAAATACGGTTGTGCTACACCATTCAGTATCTAGAAGTTCAAGTTTGGGTTACCCCCACGAAGGAGTTAATTCTACAATGCAAAGTTTATCAGGGATTACCAGGACTTGATAAGACTGCACGTGGTCGTGGGACTGAACTGGCCCTTGCATTTGTTTTGCTTCCACCAGAAATGTTTTGGTTATTGTCCTTTGTTCTCCCTGACCAATCAGCAGAGTGAATGCCAATCCGCTTTTAAAGTAGGCGGTAACAAGAAGTTGTAAAACGAAGTATGTAACCTGTTGATGATGAAATCCCATGTCTATCTGGGCTTAAAATACATGCTCGGGGTATCCTCACAACTGATGTTGGCGAATCATCTTTATACACCATCAGAAAAGAGCAAAGGAGAAAAAGCAAGGAAAAGGTCAGACACTACTAAAGCTGAGAACAAATAAAATGATGGATATGGAAAGGCAATGATGTATTGATGGAATCAGTTGACTACTACAATAGTATGTCCGAAGTTGTTGCTGGATGTTAATATGCAAACTACCATTTTTTGCTTAAATCCAACCATCTATACTGTGTGTGTCATGGTTTTGAAAATGGTGTACTGTGAAATTAACCAACAAATCAAAGCCTTCAATGAGCATTATGCAAGACAACAAAACGTGAGAAGTAGCAAGAACCACAGGGATTTGGAGACTTAAAACAAAACATATTCTCATAGTCACAAGATAGAAGATGGATATGCATCCGCTAAAGCTGACCTGGTTGATCAACCATAGAAAGCTGTGGTATTAGTGGTAATCAAGCGACACATCAGAAAGCTTTTGAATAGGGTCATCAAACACAGTACAGTACTGGAAGGAAGTCTAATCATGCGACATCAGGATTCAGCTCAAAATAGACAAGGTCAAGGACCAGCATACACAAAATGGAAATGCTCTAAGCCTCTACTTCTAGGATTATTTACAAGTACAAATCTGTAAGATGTTAAGTAGAATATGATGCCGTGCATTATTCTTTTGCTTGCATCAGGATATTACAATTAAATCCATACTTACAATGTGCCATGCTTAAGGAAAGCAGGAGTATACGCAAAAGAAAACTAAGTTAACTACAATTAGTTTGATGAATAGTATAGAACCATTGTTACATCATTTTAAGAAACAAATAGCAAGTCCAACCAATGCCACCATGTCAGATATCCATTTACAAGGAAAATTTAAATCGAAAAATAGATCCTCTACATCCATATCAACTCAACAATCAAAACCTATTAAACTCAACTACACCTAAATATAATAGATGAGCCTCCACATCCATTTCGCTCCATTTGAGCTCATTTCATCCAATATCGACAAACAATTAGTCTTCTACGGCAAATTAATTAGGATCTGCTTAACACTTGAGGTATTCTAACCTTAGTTATCACAACACTGACATACAAGTCTAAATAGCAAAAAATTATAATATCCAGAAGATTTGATTTTGGGCTAAAGCTATAGGAAGGTATGATCTTGATCCAGAATCCTCATAAAACAGAACTTTTTAAGTTCCCCTAATCTTGCATGATAAAGAGCAATCCAAAAATAGTTAATCACAACAACAACAACAACCCAGTGTAATCCCATAAGTGGGGTTTGGGGAGAGTAGTGTGGTTTTTCCGATAGACCTCAGCTCTCTCACACACACACAAAAGTTAAAATAGAAATTGATTGCAAGACCAAGTTATATTAGCAAAAAACAAAGATAATATAAGAATGAAAGATGGGATTCAACAGACAAAAGTATATACCTGAAGAAGATAAGTCACTTAAGGAAAGGGATTCAAAAGCCTTCAATGATGGCAAAGACTCATATGCATACTCATCATCTTCTTCTTTCTGTTGCCTCACCTTAACCCTTGGGTACACTTACAAATTTCAAAAAAAAAAAATTGAATGGAAAAATCAGAATCCAATATGCATAGAAGATTAAAGAAAATAAAACAAACCAAAATTGGAACTCACTTTGACTTTTAACTTGCAGAAGCTTAAGAATTTAACAAGTAAAATGAATACCAAGAATCAACCAGCTATCTCTGATTCTGAAAAACCATCTCAGCAAATAATATCAAAAAAGCAAAATCAGGATCATATTCAGAAAAGATCAAAAAATCATAAGAAAATACACAAAAAATCCACTTGACTTTTGACTTGATAAAGTTTCAAAACTTGACAAGTAACTAAACTTTACCTGCTGCTTGGCTTCAGATGTCTCTAAATTTGATAAAAACAATGAACTAGTGGGATTTTTCGGGTTTAAAGGTGAAATCTTTGATAATGAAAGTGACAAAAGACATGAAAAGCATGTGGCGAATATTCAATGGGGGATTCTTGGAAATGGAAACAAGTGAGTAATATAAAAGGTGAAAATCACGTTCTTTTTTGGTAAGTTGATTAAGATTTTATGTGGGGTTTATACTTGTATTATGCTTTGTTGAGGTCAAAGGGGCAAATTAGAGAATGGGTCCTATTTGAAAGAACTTTCGGCAGAATCAGATGCGTTTCAGAAGCATGTACGGTAGGTAATGGCAGAAAGATGGTCAACTAATTTCAGTTTCCATTCTGTCTCTGTCTCTCTCTCTCTCTCTTTTTTTTATTTTTATATATTCTTTATGCAATGTAATTGTAACGTGCCAAGTAGGAATGGCAATGGACCGAGCAGGACATTAAATATTAATACTAATTGGTCAGGACATTAAATATTAATACTAATTGGTCAGGACATTAAATATTAATACTAATTGATCTCTTAATAGAGTGATTCAATCACTAATAAATTTCTTAGGTATGATGGCCACGACAGAGGGCAGGCTTATAAGGGTGGGTCTATTAGGACTAACATGCTTCTAGGATTGCAAGGGGTGTACATGTCACCTTCGACGAATTCCATATCGTAAAGAGAATGAAAAGTGAGGATAAACCCGTACAGGTCTAGGATAGTATTTTTAAATCTAGTTTAGATTTTTTACGTATCATAATGTCCTATATATGCATAGGCGGATTCAAATTTTAATTTGATTGATTTATTCGTTAGGTTCTTATCACTAGGGGTGTTCATGATTTAGTTTTGATCGATTTTTCCCTAAAAAAAACAAACCAAGTAAGTCGAATCAAACCAAACAAATTAGGTCGATTTCTTATCGATTCGGTTTTTGTCGGTTTTCCGATTTTTTCGATTATTTATCGGTTTTTCTTAAATATGAGACATACACTACCAAACACATATTGTGGCGACTATATTTTCAACGTAACACTATCAAACCAATTGCTCTTTGAGAAATCTATCATTTACCAAGATATATTGATGATAATTGAATCAAATAGTAATGGCTACTTTAAGTACTCAATTAAAAATCAATTATTTTTAACATGAAATAAATTCTTTNCAAACCAAATTTGATCGGTTTTTAAAATTCAAAACCAAAACCAAACCAAACCTAAAATATATCGTTTTTTTTTGTCGGTTTGGTTCGATTTTTCGAATTTTTTAAATATCCCTACTTATCACTAGATTCATCAAACTTTTAAGTTTATTGGTTTTAATGTAGTAAGTAATAGTTTTTGAAATATGTTCTTTGTTGAAAGCGTGGAGTTTAAAGTACGTCGGTTATGTGTCTCATCCGCCATTATTAATAGAGATGACAATGTAATGAGATTCAATAAAATAAGATGAGCAAAAAGAATTATTTTATTATTATTATTATTATTATTATTATTATTATTATTATTATTATTATTATTATCATTATTATTGTTGTTGTTGTTGTTGTTATTTTTGAATTACTCGATTCAAGATAAGATCCATTCTTAAAAGAAAGAACACGGAGATGACTTTTCAGACTCCAAGCATCACTATTATCAATATCTTCAACACATTGCATACACAGTACGATCAAAAAATAAATTTTGTCAAATCAAAAGTTTTCTTCTTCAAAAATGTCACTCATGCTATCGAGGCCTCCTTAACTACTATTTTTATTGTCCCTTCTTCTTTCATTTTTGGTAAATACCTAGGTTTCATCTATCAACACATTTCCTCAAAAGGAGAGATTACCAATTCATACTTGATAAAATGAATAATAAGCTTTCGGGCCGGAAAGCTAATCTTCTAAACCTCGCGGGCATAACTACCCTTGTACAATCAGTCCTAGCAACTATTCCAAATTATTCCATGCAAACCAACCTCCTCCCTGCTTCTACTAGAAACCATATAAATTGCATTCAAAGTAACATTCTTTGGGGATCCACCCCAGAAAAAAGAGGATCCACGTTGTGAGTTGGGATGTGGTCACCATGCCTAAGCCCCTAGGTGGCTTGAGACTCTACAAAACCATGCCAAAAACTTAGACATGCTAGCAGGTTTACTCTAGTGCTTCCAAAGCAGCACTGTCACATTGTGAGTGTAACACTCTGTAAATTTGGACTAGGTGTGGACATGTTAAATGAGTATTAATGTTATATTTTAGACATATAAAGTCCTATCACAATGAGTATAGGTGGAACTAGTCGAATGGAATCAAGACGGGGAGTGGTGTGCATAAGATTCGATAAAATCAACTAAGTTTTATGGAAGGTCTATCTTTCAGACTGATTTCATGAAATTTTGTTAGGAATTGGTGAAAACGCAAAACATAAAAGTTGTTAGCCTTTGAAATATATTTCAAACAATATATTGTGGAGCCCGAACGGATGTTTGTGCAAAAAGTTATGTATATTTTACTGGACAATATGCAATATACACGCCCAGGTGCGACTGGATGGTCACGTGCGTGGCCGTACACTTATGGAAGTGCTACTACCCTTCTGCGCATTCAGGTGCGCGTTTGGGCCTTAAATGCGAGGGAGCACACCCGGGAGGGTCATTTTACAAGCTCTACCTCATTCCCCACACCCCCAAAACACAAAAACTAGCTCTAGAAAGAGAAGCTCTCAAGAACCTAACTCCTCAGAGATCCCTTCACCATCCAAGGTAAGTTCTAACGGTGATTCTAAGTTAATTTCAATCCTCCAAAACTTTATTAACATAGGTAAACCCTTCAAATCATTAAATATTCGATTGGGACATCATAGTTGAGAGAAGAAATCCTAGAACTCGAATTCAAGAGCATTGAACGTCAAAAGGTAATACCTTCATACTCTAATTGATTATAGCATTGAATTAATGATCATAGACTCCAAGTTCATGAGATATGAGTTGATAGGTTTAATAGAAAAGCATGAACGGTTATAAGCTTGGATTGTTGGTTGTTGATTATGGATTAAGGATATCGTTTATCTTATGGGTGATAAAGAATGGTATTGATTATAGCATATTAAGGTTTTAGAATTTATCTAGAAGCAAAAGAATGTGTTGTTGGGTGTAGAAATACCATTAACGAGGGCTATGAAGCTTTATACCCTTCAAGTGTTTGATAAAATGCCTATATGACCAAAACATGAGTATTATTGCTAATTTGGAATCCCTTTTGACTTGTATTGATATAGATTAAATTTGAAAGGGTTGGCGAATGTTGTATTACGCTCAAGAGCAGGAAGTTAAGGTATGTGAGACTAACTCCCTATGTTTGGTAATGTTAATGATTCTCCATATACTACGTTTCTTTTACGACATTTCTAATTGCCTCAGAAATATAGTTAAGCCTAGATCCTTGAATAGTTACAGAAATTCTATTCTCTAGCTTTGTAACTCATTCATGACTTTCATTGTGAACGTTGTGAGCTCAGTGTGTAATCAATAAAGACTTGGGTTTGATGCCAATGAGTCTCAGTCTAGATTACTCAACATGTCATAAACAACTGAAGTTTCAGTTTTCATAATCAGTTCAAGAATACATGTCTCAGTCTAGTCCTATTTAGTATTCCAGTATCATGTAACTCAATATGATTCAGTATTTCAGCATGACATATTGCAGTATGATTCTCAGTTCCTGAATTTAAATCCCTAAATGTTGAATACCTGTATTTGGGCCTGAGGCTGTAGTTTATATGCTTTATGCATATTTTGGCCTGAGGTATGCATTTTGGGCCTAAGGCCATAGTTATGTATACGTATACATGGGCATGAGGTTGTATCTTGTGCACATATATATTGGGCCCGAGGCCGTAGTTTATTCAGATAAACTGGTTGTTCATCATTTAGAAGAGGAGTATTTATATCCTTACTTCCTTTGTTTTGTTCAGTTATCAGTTATCATTTAGTTATTAGTTATCAGTTATCATTTTAGTTTTCATTTCAATAGTTATTATTTCAGTTATCAATTATTAATTCTCAATTATCAGCTCAGTATCAGTTTCAGTATTTATAGTTCTTTCTTTCAGTTACTTTACATACAAGTGCAATTCAAATGTACTGACGTCCCTTTTGCTCGGAGCCTACATCTCACAATACAGGTCATGATTACAGGTTGACGATTTAAAGCGCTAGGATTCTCGTACCAACTATTTAGTGATCCCCAGTTCTTTCGGGGAATTATCATTACCTTACAGTCTTCAGTATTTCCAGACAGTCAGTATTTTCAATACTTCATTAGAGGCTTAATAAACCAGAGTAACAGTTAGACAAAATCGCAGGCTTTTCATGTTAAGAATTATTTGCTACAAATATGTTTCAGAATTATATTAGTGTTTTCGCACTTGATTTATATCATTCAAACTTTTAGTATATTAACATGTGTTAGTTTATCTTCCACATTCAGTATGTTATGATCTCACATGTTGATTCAACCAGCCAGTTAGTTCACTCGGTCATATGTAGTCAGGCATCATGTGTCATTTTACGTCCAGGCCCAAGTTCGGGGCGTGACAAAGCTTTGTATCAGAGCACTAAAGCTTAGAGCAAAGTAGGTAGCCTAAAAGCTTAGAATTTCCTTTTATATGTGTGTGCTATCCATTCATATAAATGGTTAACTACCAAGACATTCAGGATTGTCTCATTTCTTTCTACTCTAGGTCGTGCCATAAAGCTTAGAGAACTAGGTAACCTTCTCATCCTATCGAATTCAAGGCATATCAAATGCCCAGCGACGAGCAACAAAAACCCAAGGTCCTAGAGAGGTTGATTACCCATTGGGTTATAATTATGGAGCATAGGTTGGTAATAGATAAGACTTAAAAGGATGCAATGGATAGTAGTACAGATTAGAGTATAATCTTATTAGAAAGTATAAAAGCAGTTATCATGTTTTATGGTTATCAGTTTACCTCAAGTACCAGTTGTACAGTCTTTTAGTTAGCAGGTTTATGGTTATTCAATACATCAGTATTCAGTTATTTAGTTATCAGATCTCCAATTTTCAGTATATCCAAATTCAAGTGACTTGTGACAGTGATGCATTTGGGTGCTGGAAGAAAATGTAAGTAATAGTAATTACACCAAAATCTTAGCATGTTTTAGGTCCGGATTAATACCCAAGACTCGCCAGGTGGTGCAAGAAGTGATTTATCAGATGATGGTATACTCTAAAGGACAAGTTTGTGTATAGTAGTGTATCCATATATGTTTCAAACTTTGTCATTCTAGGAGGGTGAGGGTAAGAACGGGGTAGGTATCTTGGTTGATAAGGACCTCCGTGAACTAGTGGTGGAGGTTAGGAGGGTGAATGATAGGCTGACAACTACTAAGCTAGTTGTTGGAGGTTTTACTTTGAACATAATCAGTGCGTATGCACCCCAAACAGGCTTGGATGAGGAAGTCAAGAGGCGTTTCAGGGAGGATTTGGATGAGATGTTGTATGGTATCCCACATACCGAGAAAATTTTCATATGAGGAGATTTCAATGGACATATTGGACGACGTCTAGGCGGTATGATGATGTGCATGGTGTCTTTGGTTTTGGAGATAGAAATGGAGGAGGAACGTCTCTGCTAGACTTTGCTAGAGCATTTGATTTGGTGATAGGAAACTCGAGTTTCTCGAAGAAGAGGGAGCAGTTGGTCACCTTCCGGAGTTCAATGGCCGAGGCTCAACTTGATTATTTACTCTACAAGAAGTCCGATAAAGGTCTTTGCATGGATTTCAAGGTCATCCCGAGTGAGAACCTCTTGACCCTTCATAAGCTCCTAGTCATGGACCTTGAGATCACGAGGAAGAGGAGGAAGAGAGCGATGTATAGCCAACATAGGATCAAGTGGGGAGCCTTGACGGAAGCTAAAGCGTAGGAGTTATAGTTTAAGTTGGTGACTATAGGGGCTTGGAGGAGTAGTGGGGACACAAGTGCTATGTGGACCATGACTATGCAGTGCATTAGGGAAGTCGTGAGAGAGGTATTAGGGGTCTCAAAAGGTTACTCTAGTGATCACAAGGGAGACTGCTGGTGGAATGGAGAGGTGTAAGGAAAAGTGACCAAGAAATCAGCGTATCTAAAGCTAGTGGAAAGTGTAGACAAGGAGGAGAAGAAGGCGAATAGGGAGCACTATAAGTTGGCTAAGAAAGAGGCAAAGCTAGTAGTTATGGCAGCTAAGACTACAACTTTTAGTCATTTGTATGAGGAACTCGAGGGACGAGGTGGGGATAAGAGGTTGTTCAGGTTAGCCAAGGCACAATAAAGGAAGGCGCGTGACTTGGACCAAGTAAAGTGATCAAGGACGAAGAAGGTAGAGTTTTGTTATATGAGGATCTTATCCGTCGGAGTTGGCAGGCCTACTTCCATAGTCTCTTGAACGAGGAGGGGGATAGGAGCATTGTACTGGGTGATTTTGAACTCTTCAGGAGTTGTTGTGACTTTGGGTATTGTAGGTGGATTAAAGTTGATGAAGTTGGGGGGCTATGCATAAGATGAGCAGGGGCAAAGAGACCTGGCCGGATGAAATCCCGATAGAGTTTTGGAAGAGTGCGGGCAAGGCAAGCTTAGAGTGGCTTACTAGGTTATTTAATGCTATTTTTAAAATGAAGAAGATGCTCGAAGAGTGAAGGTGGAGCACGATGGTTACTATACACAAGAACAAGGGTGATATCCAAAATTGCAATAACTATTGGGGTATCAAGCTTCTTAGCCATACTATGAAAGTTTGGGAGAGAGTGGTAGAGCTAAGGGTGAGGAGGAGTATGCCTATTTTCGAGATCCAATTTGGGTTTATGCCGAGGCGTTCGATTACATAAGCCTTCCACCTTGTTAGGATATTGATGGAGCAGTATAGGGAGAGAAAGAAGGACTTGCATATGGTTTCATCGACTTGGAAAAGTCATACAATAAAGTTCTGAGGAAGGTTTTATGGAGATGTTTGGAGGATAGAGGTGTAGCTGTTGCCTGCGTTAGGTTGATTAAGGACATGTATGATGGAGTAAGGACCCGAGTGAGGATGGTGGGTGGGGACTCAAACCATTTTTCAGTTATGATGGGGTTGCATCAGGGGTCAGCACTCACCTCTTTTTTGTTTGCTCTAGTGATGGACGTACTGACGCACCACATACAAGGGGAGGTACCATGATGCATGCTATTTGCAGATGATATTATATGGATTGACGAAACACAAGATAGTGTGAATACACAATTAGAAGTATGTAGGCAGACCTTGGAATCTAAAGGTTTCAAGTTGAGCATGACCAAGACAGAATACTTGGAGTGTAAGTCCGATGGCGAGACTCGAGGAGGGGAAGGGGAGGTGAGGCCGGACTCGCAGGTCATCCCTAGGAGAGGGAGTTTTAAGTACCTTTGTCTATTATTTAGGGGAATGGGGAGATTGATGAAGATGTCACACATCGTATTGGGGCGGGACGGATGAAATGGAGACTCGCTTCTGGTGTTTTGTGTGATAAGAAGGTGCCACCGAAACTTAAGGGTAAGTTCTATAAAGTGGTGGTCAGACCAACAATGTTGTATGAGGGTGAGTGTTATCCAGCCGAGATCGCTCATGTCCAAAAGATGAAGGTAGCAGAGATAAGGATGTTGAGATGAATGTACGAGCACACCAGGTTAGATAGGATCATAAATAAGGTTATTCGCGACAAAGTGCATGTGGCCCCTATTGAGGAGAAAATGCGGGAAGCGAAGGTTAGATGGTTTCATCATGTGAGGAGGAGGAGCACAGATGCCCCGGTGATGAGGTATGAGAGGTTGACATTGGAGGGCCTACAGAGAGGTAGAGGTGGGCCAAAGAAGAGGTAGGGAGAGATGATTAGACAAGACATGGCACATCTTCAGCTGATCGAGGACATGACCCTTTATAGGAAGATGGTCGAGGATTAGGGTAGTAGAGTAGGTAGTCTAGAGTGTTCATAACAGTAGTATTGGCACGTAGTCTCGCTTTCTGTTGGTAGTAGGTTTTTATGCCTAACCGCTATTTTTTCATTATTTATCACCTTATTGTCTTGTTGTTTTTATTCTACTTTTATATGGCTTTTTGGTATTGTCCCTTCTTGTCTATATTTTCATTAATTTGGTGCTTATGCTTTCCTGAGCCTAGGGTCTATTGGAAACAACCTCTTTATCCTCACAAGGTAGGGTTAAGGTCTGCGTACACACTACCATCCGTAGACCCTATGGTGTGAGATAATACTGGGTATGTTGTTGTTGTTGTCTTGGAAATGGATCCACAAGTTGGATGATGATAGTTCAAATGTCAAATCCCACAGCCTAACAAGATAAGAATTTAACCATAGCAGGCATAGAATTGATCACTATAGTTTTAGACATATGAGTGCCTAAGGGTACCTAGGAGTCAGAAATGGTTGTTATAACCAGTGATATGTTTTCCATACAACTCATGCATATGGCTAAGAAGATATGATTTACGAAATGAGAACAAAGAGCATCCGATATTGAATTTTAGGAAATGATTTTAAGTTGTTCAAATTTATCCAAATCAGAACTAGAAAGTTTATGCAAGTTGTCAGTTCCCTCTTAGGTTATGTGTCTAAATGTTTACCCCGGATGTTTATAGTATGCTATGATTTTGAAGTGTATAGAAATTTTGGGGTTTTTCCGATTTCATTTAAGACATATAAGCTTTCTCTAAGTGTAATCCATGTACATAGTTCAAAAAAAGATAGTACGCGACCGTAGAATAGGGTCGAATGGTGAGGGAAGTTAGAAATAACCTTATGGTTCACTTTAGCTATTCAAAGCAGAACAAGAAAACATGATGCTAGCAGGTGGTTAGTAAAAGATTAGTAAGTAAGTTTTGAGTAAATATAGTAAATTAACAATTTCAGCAGAGCTAGTAGATGTACGATTTGATTTACTTAGCTAGGTTAACATTAGACAGTGGGTAACAATTTGAAATACCGAATGCGTGTTAGAACCCAAAGAGTTTAAGTTGCACACGAAGTACAATGACAATGGAGAAAAAAATCAGCTAAGCAATAAGAGAGCAAGCTATAGAATAATAGCCTTTAAGAGTTATGGAAAAGAGGTTTACTCAAGATTGACAGTGTGATCAGAGTTAAATCATTAAGATTATTGTGAATACATTAGCTTTCTATTCATGTAAGTAGTCTAGGTTTCCCTAGTAAGAAAGCTTGCTCAGAAGTAAGTCGGAAGGTGAGTCTACATTGAGTTAAAGTGCAAAGAATTAGAGAAGATAAGAGAAGTTGTTTGGATCCTAACAAAAGAGAAGGATCTGCAAGTACAAGACCTTAACCTTTGGTCTAAGGGAGATATGTAAAAATCGTCAGTAAGTCCAGTTGGAGATTTGAAACCTGCATAGTTAGCATGGGATATAAAAACTATAAAATCATGCCCATTTATGTATTACGAAGGTAGTTCCATTGCACAATACTTTAATCTTTGGAGTATTGGTCAAAAACTTAGCTCAGAACAAGGCTATAACTGTTTTCAGGAAGTACCTTAAAAAGATAATTAAGCATGGGAAGTATAGATCATGATTGAGGTAGACAAGAGAAATATGGTGAAAGAAGCTCACCACTTAGCCAAGCAAGGAGCTCGACTTTCGGACTCCGAAGATGGTAGAGTTGTTGTCCAGAACATGACTTGTTCCTCCTTAGTAGCCGAAGTAAAAGAGGAAATCGTCTGATGATCCCTACTTGTTGCAGCTGAAAGAGGGGATGCACAAGCATAAGACGATGGCTTTTGAACAAGGGGAGATGATGATACTTTGAAGTACTAAGACGGGCTATGCGTTCCAGACATAGATGGACTTAAAGAAGGAGGATCATGTTAGAAGCCTAGAATTTCAGGTATTCTATTTACTCAGGTTCCGCGAATATGTATCAAGGTCTTAAGGAGATTTATTGGTGGAACAACATGAAAAATAACGTCGCAGACTTTGTTGCCAAGTGTCCGAATTATCAATAAGTGGAAGTCGAGCATCAGAAAGCCTAATGTTTTACCATAAAATACACATATTCTTGAGTGGAGATGGTAAATATGGACTTTATAACATGATTATCTCGCTCATTTTGAAAGCATGATTTGATTGCGTAATTGTAAATCAACTTACTAAGTCAGCACAGTTCTTGCCAGTAAAGACCACAGATTTCGCAGAAGATTATGCCAAGTTGTACATTCAGGAAATAGTCTGATTGTATGATACTCCATTGTCCGTCATTTCGGACCGTGGTTCTCAGTTTTAAATGAACTGTTAGAAGTTCTTTTAGAAAGGATTAGGCACAAGTTTTCATCCTCAGAAAGATGGCCAAGTAGAGCGTATTATTCAAACACTTGAGGATATGTCTTTGATGTTAAAGGTAATTGGGATGATCACATACCTCTTATTGAGTTTGCTAATAATAACACCTACCATTCTAGTATCAAGATGGCACCGTACGAAACTCTGTATAGGCAAAGGTGTAGATCGCCAATTGGTTGGCTCAAAGTTGGTGAAGCAGAGTTGTTGGGACCAAATTTGGTCCATAAGACTATGGATAAAGTCAAGTTGATTGAAGAGAATTTGAAGACAACTCAGAGCTTCCAAAAGTCCTATTCGGACGTGCGGCATAGAGACCTAGAATTTCAAGTTGATGATTGGGTGTTACTGAACGTTTCGCCTATGAAAGGTGTTATAAGATTTGGGAAGAAAGGAAAGCTTAGTCCCAGATACATCGGGCCGTATAGGATCCTACG